CACTATTCGGAAGGACCTCGAGCATCAAAATCTTTCAGGACTACTTCATGTAATGCTCTCTAACACTGCCGACGTAGAAGATGCCCTACTGGCTAGATACTTACCGAAATCAGATGGAAATGTAAGAATACTGGCATACCGTATTTTGAACGCGGTCTCACCAGAAACATTCCTAAGAAATCTTGCAAGTCGGTTTTTGCAGAAGAAATGTCATTGGGCAAGATGTACCAGAAAACACAAATTCTGACCACAAAAACTCTGATATTCGGGAATTGAAATCCATCAACCAGTCCTTTAAGCTTTAAAACAAATTGACTCGGCACGTGGTAAGACTATCCAAGAAGGACGAGGATTCTGGACTCCAGCTAATGTAAGTTATCCTCTCATCCTTTTATATGGATGCTGTAACTCTCGAAGCGTTTCGTGCCAACAGATACAGGTTGGCATTTGGAATCTAAATAGGTCACATGATGCCAGGATCACGCACAAAAGCAAATAGGAGGTGACTATTACACTTGTGAAGTGTCAAGATCATGAAAAAATGTAGAAAGGACAGGGGCTACCAACTTTTAAAAACCTTTCCAGATAGATTGCTCTTTATTCACATACGGCTCAGATAAATAGGATGGGGAAGCTCTAGCGTTCCAAATTCAAAGCATTAACTGGTTCTGCATGAACACCGCGATTATACCAAATAAAATATATGAATTGCGTGAACTCATTAGTGCCAACAATATACACCTGATAGGAATATCTGAAACGTGGATATCTCAATTTACAGACCAAGGGCTAGCAATGCCCGGTATGTCTTTGTTTCGCAACGACGAAAAAGCAGGAATGAGGAGTGGTTTGCATTGTACCTACGATCTCACTTGGAGGTACATCAAGTGTACAACCAAGGGTTTATCAATCCTGACGAATCCGCATGGTGTCTAATGAGATTGTCTACCACCTCGATGTGCCTAGATAGTTATCCATAGGAAGCCATCCGCTGACATGAAGTACGACAATCACATGCTGGGAGGATTATCCCGCTTTACTCGTCTCGGATTCACCCATATCCGGATTCTAGGAGAATTCAACCTTCCTAAAGTAAGTTTCGCTGAATATACGTACATCGAAAGTTAAAAAAATCTACTGAAGCTCATCTCACAGGGAACTTCAATCTTCCTAGAATCAACTTCGTGGAACATACATACATTGTAGGCGACAATTCTATTGAAACTTTGTTCTTCAACCTCATCGGCGACCTGGGATTATTCGAAAATATGAAGTCAGCAACTCGTTGGAGAAACAGTCAGACGCCGTCGCGCTTAGACTGGGTATTCACAAATGAAGAATTCCTAGTTGACGACCTCTCAATCCTGGCTCCCCTGGGGAAAAGTGATCACGCCGTCTTATCATTCAGTTTTGTCAGCAAAACGGAGCTAAGATATCCCACTAGCAACAGGCACTGGAATTTCAAACGGTTGAATGTGTTAGCTTTACAGGACTATCTACAACAGGTGGATTGGGATGTTCACCCTCAACTTGAAGTGGATGCTCATTGGGACTTTTTACTGCACACGATCTTATGTGCTACTGAGCATTCAGTTCCTCAAATGGTCCCACAAAGCTAAAAACAACCTCCAATCATCAAGAACCGCACTCGTCGTTTACTAATCCGCAAAAGGTACTGTTTGGTCGAATATAAACGAACCGACAATAACGACGCATACAGGCAATGTAAACGCATAAGGAACATATGTTCAAAGGCAATAAGAGAAGATAGGCTTCAGTTCCAGACCAAGCTTATCGATAAATTCGTCTCTAACCCGAAAAGCTTATTCAGTTACGCAGCTTCTCTTCGACAAGGCAAAACTGCAATTTCCCAACTGTTAGGTCCTAATGGCCCGACCAATAACGACGGTGATGCCGCTAACCTTTTGGCTGAACTATACTCCCAGACATTCCAGCTGACCCACATCAACCATACTGACGAAAACTTCACCTTCACCTGTACAAGACTTTCCGAAGTGGACCTGAGTGCTGACCTGGTGCTCCGTAAACTTCAGCACCTAAGAAAAGACACTTCTCCTGGTCCGGACATGGTTCATTCTGCTGTATTGAGGGAAGCAGCTTCAATCCTGGCATCACCGCTTAGCGTGATGTTTACACACTCGCTAAGCAGAGGCAAACTACCGGAAATTTGGAAGCTGGCTCACATCACACCAATTTTCAAAGGAGCTCAACGCAGTGAACCCTCAAGCTACCGACCAGTGGCCCTTCTCTCCATACCTTCAAAAATTATGGAATCCCTAATATACGACTGTATACAAGAATATTTATCATCCTCAAAGTTCTTCTCGCCTCAACAGCATGGTTTCAGAAAAGGTCATTCTTGTATGACCAACCTGCTGACTGCGGTGGATAGATGGACAACCATCCTTGATCGCAAGGGGAAGGTTGACGTCATCTACCTGGATTCCTCAAAATCTTTTGATAGGGTCAACCACGTATATCTTAACAATAAGCTTAGACGATTGGGTATAAAACCCCCTTTGATTGACTGGCTCACTTCATATCTAGAAAACCGACATTTTAAGGTCAGGGTTAACTTCACTCTCCCTCAGGCTATGGAATGTCATAGTGGGGTCCCCCAGGGCTCAGTACTAGGACCTCTTCTCTTCTTGATTTACATCAGTGATCTTTCTCAGCAAGTTTCATCTGACTTATTGATTGCAAAATAGTCCATCTGCGACATGTTGCAGACTACAGTTACAACTTAGGTATCTCCTCTCTAAAAGTATCACGATTCGAAAAAGATTTAGGAGTGTTGGTATCCTACGACCTGAAGTCGTATGTGAACTGTGACAAAAACGCCTTCCAAGCAAACCTTGCACTGGTAACATTGAAGCGCATTTTTGGACAGTTTGACGGTAGAACTTTCCACACAATCTTCAACAGCTTTATTCGTCCTCATTTAGAGTACGGAAACATAGTATTTCCTCCCCCCTCCAAAAGGATAAGGACACTCTGGAACGTATACAACGTCGAGCCACAAAATCAGTTCGGGGACTCAAATTCAAACCTTACGAAGAGCGTTTCCAATCACTTAACCTGTACCCGTTAGAGTACAGGCGTCTTAGAGGTGACCTTCTTTTGACTTACAGTATCCTTAATACTTCTGGTCATCCCCTTAAACATCTTCTTAAGCTTAGTCATAACACTAACCTGAGAGGTAACACCCAGAAACTGGAGACCCAACATAGCAGAACAGACTGCAAATAAAACTTCTACTCCGTAAGAGTAGTCAAGTGCTGGAATTCGCTGCCGACTGAGCTAGTCCAAGCGACTTCCCAGGAGTCCTTTAAGAGAAAACTTGACTTATTCTTAAGGACTAAGTATAACTTATTATGATTTTAGAAGGGGTTTTGTGGAGATTTAGTATTTATCATTGTTGAAAGCGTGAGTCAATTGAAGCTAGACCACCATGGAAAACCTGGAAACACTGGACGGCCGTTTCGTCCTATTATGGGACTCCTCAGCAGTGCGCATCCACGAACCTGCTCTCGCGAGCGAGATTCGAACCCAGGACCTACCAGTCTCGAGCCGAAGCCCTTAACCGATAGACCACTGAGCTGGCATCCAACGGTGTTAATGTCTAGCTTGTCTAGCTTCAATTGACTCACGCTTTCAACAATGATAAATACTAAATCTCCACAAAACCCCTTCTATAATTAATATAATAATATGCTCACTAGTGATTTCGCGAAGTATATCTAGGAGCTCTAATGAGAAGCAGTGACCAGTGGAGTTCAAAACCACGTCTGTTGTGAGATAGGAACTCACTGAAGACAATTGGTGAATGGTTGCTCAACTTCGTGGATCAGTTGAAGTTAGACATTAACACCGTTGGATGCCAGCTCAGTGGTCTATCGGTTAAGGGCTTCGGCTCGAGACTGGTAGGTCCTGGGTTCGAATCTCGCTCGCGAGAGCAGGTTCGTGGATGCGCACTGCTGAGGAGTCCCATAATAGGACGAAACGGCCGTCCAGTGTTTCCAGGTTTTCCATGGTGGTCTAGCTTCAATTGACTCACGCTTTCAACAATTATTATGATTTACCAAATTTTTTTCCCTCTATTATCGTTCATATACCTAGGTTTTTGCCTGGAGGTATTGGTGATCCACTGCAACTAAACACGGAAGCCCGTTAGGCGAAAGCTTCTTCTATTCCGTCCTCAACCATCTGAACCATTTAAGCAATGATCTCAAAACAACCAGCCACTTTAAGGCTACCGCTGCAAAAGGCTATAGGGTATTATGGTCTATTTGTAGATCTTTTCAGTATTTTGATGAAGATATGTTTAGATTATTATACCCGACTTTCGTGAGGCCACATTTGGAATATCGGGTTCAAGTAATGAGTCCTTGTTTCATGTATGAGGCGGATACGCTAGAACGAGTCCAACGATGAGGGACTAAAATGGTAAAGGTGTATCTGGCCGATCTTATGAAGACAGATTGCTACATCTCAAACTATTTCCGATGTCTTACCGTAGAATACGGAGTGACCTGATACTGGCTTACCGTATCCTGAACGATGACCTTGGTACTAACATGTCCTATCTTTTTCTTCCACTTAAGACTGATCATTTGAGAGGACATTCGAAGAAAGTTCAAATAGTCTACTTCTGGAGTTTCGTTTCTTGCACTGAGTAGCGAATTATTGGAATTCTTCACCAGAACACGTAGTATCTGCACCCTCTGTTGATATATTCAAAACGAGATTGGACCTCCACAGCGTAACAAACTGCAAGGATTAATATAGGTCAACAGACCTCCCATCCTTATTACTGAAAACTCCTCTATCATCGTTAATACACCTAGACTCCTATCTGAAGGCATTGATGATCTACTGCTACTAGACACGGAAGCCCGTAAACTGAAAGCTTCCTCTATTCCGTCCACAACCATGTGAACCATTTGAAGGTCACCCTCGTTTCGGCGCGTACGTCTGAAATGGAGCAATGCAAGGTAGAACGCAGTCTCCATTTGGCACGTCGTCAGCAGTGTGCCTGTTTAATTCAGGAAATTGGGTCAAGGTTGCAAACGTAAGTTTTTACTGAAGTAGTGTGTATCCCTGTCTGCTTCATACAGAACACAGGTAGTCATAAATGCAGGCATATACTACATGCACTACTTCTACGAAGTTTTCTCTCCAGAAACTATCAAACCGATTTTAGTTGCAATAGCTGCCTTTTATTGTGCATGCAAAACAGAGGAGTTTTCTCGGAAACTCTCCTTCTTAATCAAAGCTGCTTATGATATCTTAAAGAGACCCGCACCTGATGAGGAGTCAGATGCATTCAAGAGACTCGTTCAAAATGTTCATGCTTTAGAGGCTACTATTCTCATGGTCATTGGGTTTAACACTCTTGAAGTCAAACAACCACATGTGCTACTCATTAAGGCCATTCGCGCAAATAAATTCCCGAAGGAAATAGCTCATACTAGCTACTATGTCTGCACCAATATACTGCATCTCACTACTTTAGTATTGCGACATTCTGCAGAAGCGATTGCCGCTGCTAGTCTTTACATTGCTGCAAAGTGGAACGGGACAGACATTCAGTCTTCAAACGGGGAGTGGTACCATATTTTTTCCCCGATGCTGACTTTTGAGGAAGTCTCCAAAATAACAGACGAATTCACCCTTACTTTCCAAGAGTGCGATTTAAAAATCAGAGAGCAACTGCGCTGTTCGCTCCGAGTAAGTCATTTTACCTTAGATATAGTATTTAGTCCCGGAAGTTACTAAGAGAACGAAGAGAGGATCTTGTCAATAATCCTCCTCGAGCTCAAGAACCTCAGAGGAGACCAGTTCCTGATTCTCGACAAAAAGCTGATTCTTGGAAAGTGAGTCCTAACTAATACTCCTAAAATTTTTTCAATGAGTGCTCTCATTTATTGTTGTATCTGAGATTCCTGTTCACGAGAAATAGTATCATAGTATTGCATTCAGATTGGGTGACCGACGGTATTTGTTCGTTGCAGCTCAAGCGTATCTAACGTTGAACTATATCATCAAAAGGATGAGTTAACAAGATGGCCATTTTCCAGCTAAAAGCCCGTTTATGGATATTGATAAAATAGATGCATATCATCTTCATGAGAACTGAGTTTTAGCGAATGTTAGGAATTTCATATCCCATCCCCATTTTCGCGTTTATTACCAAACAGATATCATTATCATTTTAATACTTAAGATGGTTCAGATAGTTATGGGCCCACTTGATATTTCCGAAAATCGTTTTGACACAATATTATTTTGTCACGATAAAATATACTGGTACCAACTTTTCTTGAAGCTTGACGAAAACCTATGAAAGGTTTCGTGGGAGATCATGGGGCGGATTCTTATTTACGACTTTATTTATAAAGTAGAACTTCTGTTAACGTTAAATAAATGTAACCCACAGATAAAGTCAGCATTGTGCAGTCATGAGGGAGAGAATGATTATACCATCTTTAATATGATCCATAATAATATTTGGCAAAAAAGTTAGTTCACTCGGAGAGAACAACTGAAATGGTTTTGTGTCTGATAAGGGGTTCATTTTATTTTTAGAATGTTACGTAAAACTGCAGCAGGTTCACTTTTTTCCCAGCCCGTGCCTAATAATGTCTCAAGTCAATCAGTTGCATGGTTGCTAGTATTCCACTCAGAGGTTCTTAATTAATCGTAAGAAATAAGCTCTATATATTTATCTTCTATACCACTACGCGTTGTTAAAAGCTGACAAGCTCTGCTTTCCCAACTTAGTTCGAATAGAAAAATGCCTAATGTGGAATCCACTAGGTTAACATTTGTAAAACATATGCACGCCATCTAGTGTTTTAAATTGTTATGCCTATTGAGTTATTATTAACAGATGTGGATACTGCTAAACGTCGGTGTTATTTACACATTATTGTATGCGATCTTTCAGGGACAGTGATAATCGAACAGTCCCTGCACATCATTAACCCAGAAGGGACCGATTTCATGACATTGCCTAGGAGTAGCCGTAGTAATGTCACTTCTAAAAACAATGATCGTCAGACAATGCTGAAATCATATATCTTAGAAATGATTTAAAGTTTGAATGTTAAAACAGCATCTCTACGGTGTGATTACTGGTCTGATGTATTTATTCAAGATCACTCTTATATTAGATGGTATCTTATAGCATTATTCAGACCTGCCTGTCTTAATGACCATCTTTTTTACCAAGTCCCTACCATCCCAATTGATGATTTAGGCTATAATCTTTCCAACCAGTAGTTTGCATGTCTAAACCTCACTTTGTGCTTCGATGTATGCGTCCCATTAGTATCGCTATTGCTCAAAGAGAAGAGCTTGAAATCGATTGCGTAGGGCTTCGCCTGGTAAATGTGTCAGACCATATTTTATATACATGCTAAAGAACTATATGACAAAAAACATCAATTCCGTGGTCCTAGGATGAAATGTTGGGGTGGGAGTAATAAGTGGTGTTTCTCTCTGATAATTAGCATTTCCACCAAACCCACCTTATCACAAGCGGAGGATATCTTTTACCTTTTTTCCATGATGTCCTGGTGTCTAAATTAACGTCAGTCTGGGATAAGGCAAAAACAAATCCTAAAATGATCATATGTGACAGACCCCAAGTTTTATGGTCACTTTCTGAAGTTAATCAATACTTCAATTACTAACTTGGTTCATTTTTCTCAGTTCCTCAAAAAGAGGTATCCTTAGGCTGTTCGGGCAGAGAGAAAAGTACACTTCTCTTGCCATCGAAGCTCTTATTCTTTTCATTATATTCCTATTTGTATTATCAATTCACTTCAAGCTAGGCTTTTTTCCCGCGTGTCCAATCGGGCCAATGATTCAAGCTTACTAAGTACTGTCCCTGATTTCATTAAACCGCTCTAAGATATATGTTTAACCTCCGTTTTGACTGTGGCGAATAGGATAATAGGTTCATTTTATTGTGGTACATCTGAAACTGGTGTAAAAGATCTCAGTGTGATTGTTCACTTAACTTCATTTACCCAGTGTACGAAATGGATACGGTGTATCCTGAGAGTCGTTAGGGACTCGTATTTCTCCGAGTGTAGGCACATCATTGGATTCGAAAGCAGAACATACATTCCTTGACTGTATACTCGTTGACAATCGCCTGCGCTTTTTCAGAATAAAAAGGACAGTACAAACACAAAACAAAGGGAGTAAAGCAACTACTTCCGATTGCGTCCGAATTATTGGTTTCCATCATTGTTCGTAGGTTGTTCAAGACCCAGGAACGATTGACTCGCGAGTAGCAGATTCAGTCAGTCAGTCACAACGTAGAACTTCGTACGTACGTACATCAGTTCGAGTTGCCATACCACATTAGCACAGAGATGCAGTTGTCGATTCAAATCCCATAGTGGGAGAAGTAGTAGGAGTATAATCAGAAATCCAAAAGATTAGGGTTTGAAGAAATTATTGAAGGAGTATAGTACAGTGAAATAAATTTGGAAAGAGAAAAAGATAAAGACATGAGGAATTCAGAAGATTAGAATTTGGTAGAACACAAAGAGTGGATGCACCTTCGCCATTGCAAACGATTTTGAGCCATGTCATTCAAGGTCTCTAACCATCGGTTGCTGTCATCTCGCGAATCCCAACCAGGTAGTCTACACCTACCAACATGGCCCAGTCCACTTGTCAGTGACTTCATGGATTTATGCCATGTTTTGGTCTGGCCACCCCTAGCTTTCTTCCAACCTGCTCCTACACTATAAGGCATTGCACGTCGGGGCAGTCGGTGGTTGGCCATACGTAACACATGTCCCAGCCATCTTAACTAATGAAGTTTCACTACTTCATCAATCGATTTGCCATCCTTACCTAGTACTCGTTTCCTAACAACTCCATTACTTACCCGGTGGTCCCAGGATATACGAGCAATGCTTCGAAGACATCTATGATCGAACACTAGTAGCCTACGAACATCCTCTACTCTTATTGGCCATGTTTCACTGCCATAAAGTAGGACGGAACGGACTACTGCACAGTAAACCCGTCCTTTGGTTGCTAGACGGATGTCTCGCCTACGCCATAAATGGTGCAAGTTGGCGAAAGCTAGACGAGCCTTCTGTATCCGTGCTGAGATTTCGTCATACACCAGACCACAAGGGCTGATGAGACTCCCAAGATAAGTGAAGTGGTCTACACGCTCAACTACTTCACTCCCTATCATTAGTTCAGGTGTCGCTGCAACCCAATCCTGAAGTTCCTACATGTAGTTTAGAGCGTGGTTTCAGGAGACCAGAAATAACGTTCTGTATACTCGAATCGTTTGCCCTAGCGGTGCGAGGTGATAAAAGGACGTGGGAAGGGTTAGTCGTGGAGATAACAGAGTTATTAGGAGTAGGAAGGATTTGAAAGCGACCAACTTGGTCTCGTGTGCAGTTAAGGGTATGAGGGCTAGTATCACTTCCCGGCTGCCCACACCGTGGAAGGGTATTTCTTGAGGGACCTGAAAAAGATGTTGGATTAGTGTTGGTCTTAACGACCTGGGAGCGTGACCGCAATGCCCAAGGGACAACTGCTTGAGGCCGGTCACGCACGGCCTTTTTGTGGGGGATTTTTGACGTGTTAGCTCCGTTCTTCAAAAGTCCTTACCGCCGGAGACGGAAATCCGTGGGATAAGGCGATTAGTTTTCATTATAGTCGAGGGTATCTTGATCATATCTTCACCCTTTATCAACTATTAGAACACTCGTGCTTATTGCAGACCAACGATCATCTTGTTTCTTGAATTCAATCATTGGTTACGATAGTCACGTGGACCCCAACCAAGTAGTCTGCACCTGCCAACATGGCTCACCCTAGAAGTTAGTAACTTCAAGCTCCGATGCCACGTTTTGGTTTGGCCTCCCCTAACTCTCTTCTAAACATCCCCAATACTAGTCAGCATTGCGCGTCGTGGTAATCGGTGTTCAGGCACTTGACCTATCTCCGTTGATGAAAATTCGCAACCTCACCAACTGATTTACCATCATTCCCTAATACACTGTGTCTAACCTCACTATTACTTAACCGGTGATCCCAGCAGATGCGAGCAATAATTCTAAGGCAACTGTGTTCAAATACTAGTAACTTACGAGTATCCTTTATCCTGAAAGACCACGTTTCGCAGGCGTAAAGTAGAACAGAGCGAACTGCCGTTAGCATACTCGTCCCTTAATTGATAGACGTATATCTCATCTTCGTCATAGGTGACAAGTTGGCAAAAGCCAAACGAGCCTTTTGAATCCGTGCTGAGATTTCGTCAGACACCAACCCATTAGGGCTGATCAGACTTCCAAGATAAGTGAAGTTGTCGACACTTTCGACTACTTCACTCCCTATCCTTAGTTCAGGTGTCGACGCAGGCCAGTCCCCACCCCTCCCTATGGGAAGACAGCATCGCTGTTATGCTGGTTTTCTGAAGGGAACACCTTACTGCCGTCACATCTCTGTACAGTCAGCAGTACGACTTCGCCTTCGGACCTTATGCTTGCTGTCTTCAGTCTGACCACTCTTCAACCGACCTGCCTGGTATGGTAGGACCTTGAGGAACGATTGTTCCAGCCAGTATAGCTCGATTGGTTCATCACGATAGGCAAGCCCGACCGCCACGTCAATGTAGCAGCAACGGCCATGCAATCCGCACTTAATCAGTCTGCCTAGATATTGCTCCTGACTAAACCGCTCCT